AAAATTAAGAGCCCTCACAACTCCAGACCCCCCCCTGGTCCATTCCAGATTCAAACTTCAAGAACAGCGGCTTATGCTCCTGCAAGGCCTCGGATCTCTCCATTTGTGTTACTTGAGGTTCAACAGCAACCTCCTCCGTTATCTTCTGCACTTGCGCTTGCCCTGTCAAAACAAGTTCCTGGGCTGGTTCCTGAATGGTTTCTAAATGAGTATTCGCCATTTGTCCAAAGTTTTTAACTGCAACAGTCATCAAATCCATCTTCTCATGCATCTGCTCCAGCAAAGCGCTTGTCTTACAAAAAGCAAGCACCCAAACATCTTCTAAACACATTTTTATTCAAGGTCAGAGTCTGGTCTCACGATCCTAATCTTACAGCTGTGAAATCCCCAGATCGACTCCAGCAACAAATTAACAAGCTCCCTCTAGAGGAGACAATTTCTATTTGTATCCATCTTTTGAAAGCAGGACCAACAAAAGAAAATTACTTTCATTTTTCAAATATTTTGTTTCTTTTGAATGCAAGAGGCAACATTGGAATCAATTTGTTTCTCTTTTTTTACTATCTGTCAAAAGACGTTCCATTCACAGTCAATGGACTTCCCCATAAATTTCTGTCTCTGACACCCCGTTCCCAGGTTTGAGATGGTGGAAATTTATCTTTCTTTACTCTCTCTTCTGCAGGCTTAAACAGTCAATAATTCCCCCCCTTTTCTCCTGCTTCCAAGAGGGGTTTTGGTGGTAATAACTGAAGGAAATTTAGACCTTTATATACGACTTTCCAGACTTTAGCTTACAAAGTTTTTGCTTCAATCTATTTACAAAACCGGAAGGCGGACTTCCTGTTTAGAGCCTTCCCGCTTCAGTGCCAAATTAAAATGTTTCTTAATCCAATTTTCCGTTCTACTCACGGGTACTTATTTAGAGTCCAATTGTCCACAGGAAAAAGTCAGCGCTCTCCGGCAACGGCTGTGCGGCTTCACTCCGTAAAAGTAGCGGTTGATTCAAAACACCGCGCCACTCACCCCACGTCGCTTCGGATCCCCAAAAAAGGGTTTCCCTGCGAGTAGGGGAAGCGCTCCTGGTGTCAGCCGAATCCCACGTTCCCAGGCTTCCTCCGCCTGGGATTTTTAGAGGGTCTCCGCCTTCGCCGCGGCGGCAAGACCCGATTTTCACGGAGCGGGTTCCTCTCAGTCAGAGGAACTCCGCCATTGCCGATGGCCCTAACCCGGAAGTCCTTCGAGTCCACCATTCTTAACCACTACACCACACTGGCTCTTAATCCTTTTAAGCATGAGACTCTTAATCTCAGGTTTGTGGGTTCAAGACCCATGTTGGGCGAAGAGATTTCTGCACTGCAGGTTGTTGGACCAGACGACCCTCGTCGTTCCTCGCAACTCTACAATTATATATGATTCTATATTAAATCTGTTCAAATGGCAGAAGTCATATTTCAAAATCCCTGACTCATAACAAAACAAATATATTATTATTATTATTATTATTATTATTATTATTATTAATGTGGCAGAGTCCTAAATTCGGGTGGGGAAGGAGGCAAGAAGCTTGTTCTTCTGAATCCAAGGCTGCAACAGCACACACCTCCCCCCGGCTTATAATGAAACTATCTGTTCTTTGAAAAACATAACTATTCCAAATCTTTATACCAAAAGCCACCACAAAGACACTTCGGGTGACTACTAAGCCAGACACATTTCCAGTTACAAATAAAATGTTGAAGTGGGAAATATCTCCACTATTTTGTATGAGGCAAAGAATCTCCTGACTTCTAGCTGGAGATGGGGGCAGGGAGTGGTGTCCCGAGAGCGATTTTTCAGGAGTGATCAGAGGTGGGCAAAATGCTAGAGGTACTGTTGTTTTGTAGGAATGTGAGGATTGATTTCTGCTGCATTTATGGATGATTGTAATTTTTATCTCTTCACCCCACCTACCAGTAGTCCATGGGGGAAGGGAGAGTAGTCCATCTCAGGTACGTATGGCTGATGTAACATGCCTTGAGCCTAATGTATAGGAAGGGTAATGCATCTGAATAAGTAGGTAAATTATGATGGTGGTTATTTCTTAAATTTCAGCCCTGCCCTTCCTCCCAAAGGAGCCAAAGGCAGCAAACACCAGAGCAGTAAAATAATGTTACTAAAATAAAATAACATTTCAAGTATTTTAAAATACTTTAAACATTAAAAATATCAGGAGCACCTAAAAATAGCTAATAATAGGACAAGCTATGCTCTGATTTAGTTTCAGTTTTTATTTTACCAGGGTCACCCTATTACCTTCACTTCTGAACCACTCTGGGGTTATTCTAGGGCCATTTCAATATAATTTTCTATTTATGAGGATGTAACTTCATATGAATTGTCTTTCTGGATCAGATTAAAGTTCATTCAGCTATTCCATTTCTGAGCGCGTCTAGCTGGATGAAAGAATTAAGTGGGGTAAAAACCAGGAGCACTCCTAAAAACTGATATGTTCCAAAGTTCTTTCCTAATTATGATTTTTCTCTCCTAAAGGTCAAACATTGGATGCAACATCCCTCAGTCTTTTGGAACCTTTTGGGTCATAGCCTGTGAAGGTCTGTTGGACTTTCTCTCTTCACAGCTTTGGTGATCTCTGCTTGGGAAAATGGGGAAGCTCCTGTAGTAAGTCTCACCACTTCTGCTTATACAGTATATACAACAGCAGTAGAGAGAAGGGTTTGGGGAAGGAAATAAAGAAATACTGGGGTTTTGCCTCCCTAACAGACTTAAATCTTACTGAAAACAAAGCCTCTCTTGTTGGAGAGGGTATGATATGGGGTGGATCTACACACAAGGGGAAAAAAGCTATAAATAAGTCAGAAATTGAATTGTTATAACAAAAGGGGGGGAACCTATGTAAAAATTGCATAGAAACTTTGTTTGCTCTCTGGCACCATCTGGCTGGTGCTGTTAAATATGTTTCTGGGTGGAAATTTAGATGATGATGGTGATGATTTCATTACGTATATCCCCCAGCCATTCTCAATATGGGTTGCCCCAACCACTCTCAATCACAAAGTTGGGTTATTTCCTTTTGGCTTCATGAGCAGTTATAGCTCAGAATTGGAAGACACTTCAGAATATAAGTATTGACCAGTGTTACCCAAACGTATGACAATGCGCTCTTTTAAAGGAATGAAAACAAAAACTGTAGGTTGCCAGGGGACAAAAGATAAAGGACCCATCTGAGAAAAGATGGAAAGGTATTTATGGATTATTCAAGCACAAAGGATAGTGCTGCCTTCCACCCCCAATATGGTACTCTAGACCAGCCTTTCTCAACCTTGGGTCCCCAGGTATTGTTGGCCTACAACTACCAGCACCCCTGACCACTGGCCATGCTGGCTGAGGGGGACTGGGAGTTGTAGTCGAACACATCTGGGAGTGGAAGCAGGAGGCCAAATAATTATAATAATTTTGGTTTTGCTCCATCCTGGAAAATGTATTTATCACTACATTTATAACTCATCTTTCCTCCAATATGCTGAAAGTGGTGTAGATCGTTCTTCTCCACATGACAACCCTGTGAGGTAGATTAAGCTGAGAGGAAGTAACTGGCCCAAGGCTACCCAGCGAGTTTCAGTTTCAAGTAGAGACTAGAACCACTGGCTCAATGACTATGGCTTCAGAACTAGCACATGGTTTGTCAGGTGCCGAATTGATGGGCTGCTATAAAATGTTGTCTCTGCCCAGTGGCGGAGGAAGGGGGGTGCGGATCACCCCAGGTGTCATCACTGAGGGGGTGTGACAAAATGAGTTTTAAAAAATAAAATAAAATTGGGCTGACGAAACTTTTTAGGGTTGACATGGTGGCTGAAACGGCAGCGTGGGACTTGCGTCTGCCTGCTGCATCTCCCTCAGCCGCCCTACAGCAGAGGGGGAGGCAGTGGAGAGGCTCCAAGGGTCAGAGATGCTTGCCCCGCCCCCATGGGCAGATTGCCCCACCCCCGGCTGCAGGACACGCCCCCTCACCAGGCACCCGAGCGGCTAGCTATGCCGCTGCCTCTGCCAACTACTTTCCTCCTCCCTCCTTTCTGGAGCTTTTGGGTCCCCACTGATTGCCCACAAACTATAGATCCATTCACTCCTTTCAATGCTGGTTTCCTCACACTGCTACAATCATTGCTGCCCAAGGACCCCCGTAGGTACAGCATCTCTGGAGCCGACTGCCGCTTTGCAGGTAAGATTCACCTTCTGTTGTGTGGGCAGGACAGTCCCTCCCCTTACCTGGCCAATCCCCTGGCAACGAGTCCCCAGGCGGGATTGGGCAATTGGCTGAGGTAGGCGGAGACCTCCAGGTATCCAGCCTGGGGAGGGTGAAGCCAGCCCGAACTACCGGGAGTCGCACTGGGATCTGGGGGGCTGCGAATGCTGTGGGTTGCGAACGTGCCTCCCGCACGGATCACGTTCGCAACCCGAGCATCCACTGTATCTTATGTGTATCTTAATGAACTAAATAGAGCGAAAGATTATGAGTCATGGGGGCAGTGCGTATTTCATTTGTTGATATTCCGTTAATGTTGTTTTATAGGTTCGAAAACGCTGCACTCATTTGTTAATCGTGTAATTTGACCTTTGCTGTAATTGTGATGTTGAGTTTATTTTTAAGTGCTGTTTCCTTAATAGTATTTCATAGATTGCAATTGTTAATTATTTCATATTATTTATGCTGTATTTATGATGTTCTGTTGCTATTTATTGTTTGTAAAGCGCTTTCCAGAATGAAGAGTGGCATAGGAATGCAATAAGTCATTGGCATCTTCTTGTTTCTCATTTCCTTTTGACAGGCAAGAAGGCAACTGTGGCAAAGGGGAAATGTGGGGTTGGAATGAGCTATCCATCTCCCAGTGGCTTCGCCTGGAGGAACGAGTGGTATCCTGTGTTCTGCCATGTGCTCAGCTTCAGAAACCTCAAGAGAATTAAAAGTTGTTTGAAATGAAATATTATTTACTTCCTGGGAGATTCAACTTTGAGACAATGGATGTGGTATATCACAGATAAAATCCAATGTACGTTTTCCTACCTAGAGACAACCACAATGTAATATTGTTGCCTGTAACAAGTATCTTTGTTTCAGGCTTCTGTACCCTAACTTTTGAACACCCAGTCTTTCTTATGTTTCAGAAATCTGTTCTACATGGAGATCAGGGAGACATTTGTTTAAGGGCTTATCCACACATGTTTTTGCCTTGTTCTTTCCAGGTCAACACTTAAAAGCTCTGTATCTGAGTGGGTTTTTTGTTTGTTTGTTTGTTTGTTTCTGTTTTTACCCATGAGCTTTCCCCACGCTTCAGTACTCAGTTGCCATTTGCTCCAATTGAGCTTTAAAGAGCATGTTTTCATGGGGAAAGCTCTGGACAAAAAAAAATGTCACTCAGATACAGAGTTTTAAAGGAAGGATCTTGCCTGGAAAGAGCAAAGGAAAGTATAATAAGCCCTAAGTTTGCTTTCCAAACTAATTCATAAATCCAAACACAGCTATCTTTGGAATTCATTATTTGAATCTTATGGTGCTGTTCTCCAACCAAGAAATGTAAACAAAAATGCATTTAATAGGGCACTTTATTTTAAGAAAATTGTTTGCTTGCAAAAAATATTGATTTTCCGGAGGAGTTTAAAAAGAATCCTGTTTATCCAGGCTCAAAGATACTGTTCCTGGCTTCGCTGAAATCACTGGTTGAGTGAACGTTTTAAACGGTTTGTAGAATGTATTTGTTTGTTCACTCACTGAGACTATGCACGAAGCGGGAGCCAGTTCTGAATGAATTCAGCTTGCAAGAGTCAACTCCCAGCACTTGTGGCTGTAACCTTACCATCCTTCCTCATTCAGTTCTCTCTGGAAGAGGAAAAGTCCTACCTGCTGGGAGCTTTGATCTCCTTTGGCTGACGAGTGCACAGGTGCTCTCCTTCCTTATTGGTGTGCCTTCCCTCTCTGCAAATATTTGCTTTGGGTAATAGCAGCTGCTCATATTTTATGGTATGCCATCCCAATCTTGGCCTAGAGCAGGTTTTTGGACACATTACAGTGCCGGATTTACGAGGCCATTGATCCATAAAATGAAAGCAATAATCAAAGTACAAATAAATAAAACAGTATTTTTTTAATGATCTTTATTGGTTTTACAGATTTTACAAATTTCACCATCATAATACATAATACATATGTTTTCCTTTTAACCTTAATACTTTAACTCTAAACAAGTTTGTACTTCCCTCCCTCCTTCTTCTGATTTCTCTATATTTTCTTTATATTTACGCATTTGTCATGTTTGCATTCTATATGTACTTAATACTATGGAATAATACTATTCAAAATTTCATTAAATATATATCCTTCAGTTGTTGTAATATATTTCTTCAGTGTTCTTAAATCCAAAATGAATGATTTTTAATAAACATTATGAGGTCTATTTCAGTTCCACAAATTTGTGTATAGTTCTTTTCTATGTATGTTGTATATTTCATCCAGTCTCTTTGGAATGCTTCGTCACCCTGTTCTCTGATTTTTCCAGTCAATTTTGCTATTTCTGTGTACTCCATGAGTTTCCGCTGCCATTCTTCAACTGTGGGTATTTCATGTTGCTTCCATTTCTGTGCAAGTAGTATTCTTGCCACGGTCGTAGCATAAAGGAACAGTTTCTGGTCACTCTTTATTATATCATCTCCAACCATACCTAGCAAAAATGCCTCTGTGTGGTTTTTTTGGAAAGTGTATCTAAAAAACTTTTAAAACTCATTATAAATATTTCCCCAGAAGGTTTTAACTTTTGCATATAACCACCACATGTGGAAAAAGTTTCCTTCCTTCAATTCACATTTCCAACAGTTCTTATTTCTCATTCTATACATCTTTGCTCACCTGGCAGTGGTAAGATACCATCTATACATCATTTTTAATATATTTTCCTTCTGGGTCACACAAGCAGTAAATTTTAATCCTATGTTCCATAGCTTTAACCATTTATCATATTCAATATTATAACCTATGTCAGTTGTCCACTTTGTCAGGACCTCTTTAATTTCTTCATCCTTTGTATGCCACTCCAGCAGAAACTCATAAATTCTAGACAATGTTTTTGTACTTCCTTGTATTACATCCATTTCTATCCTTGATCTAACATGTTCGAAGCCATTGTTGTTTGTCCTTTAAAAATATATTATTGAACTGGTGGTATTCCAACCATCCTGTTAATTTTGTTTTGAGATCCTCATAAAGCCTAATTTTAATAATATTATTTTCTTCTATCAATAGGTCTCTGTAAGTTAACCAGTCTCCTTTCATCACTCGGGAGATTGACAACATGGCAGGCGACAGGGACACGGTGGTTGTCATCTCCCTGGACCAGCACTTCCGCCCTTCCCCACTGAGGTCTTCATTCGAAGGATGATCAACATCTGGGGAGCCATCCAGCGCCTTCTCCTGAGGAGCCCAGATACAAAAGTCATCATCAAAGGGGAGAACACCCGGGAGGTGTCGATAGAACAAGAGCAATGTGTGGGCGTCCATGGCTATACCCAATACCTTGCACAAAAGGATATTTTTAGGGATCTGAAGGTGGGTTTTGTTGATGCCTGGGACATGACAGTTGCTTACAGTGTGAACATACTTCAACCACCAGATCACGTGGTTGGAAATCAGACTCATATGTTTTTAACTTACATATGTTGAAGCGCTAAGGGATATCAAATGTGAAAAGTTCAATTACCCAAAGCAAAGGATTCTGGATTGGCAAAACTGTCAGTTATATATACGGAACTGCCAGATCCTTCCCAAGGGTCCACCTGGAATCATTTTCCAGCAGTGCCTGTGCAGATCCTTCTGAGAAGCTTTTCCCTGTGCCACTAATATCTCATGGGGTGCCACTTCAGACTAAGGTGGGGTAGGGTGATTTGGAGGTGCAGGTAAGTTGTTATGGAGAGTGGAGCAGAAGACCTCACGTCCCAGCCACCTCTTCTGCAGAGGGGTTTGCAGAAGTGTTTTGGTAGGGGGCGAGGAGAAAACACAATTCAAACAATGCCCTCATAAACGCCATGACTATATATTTAAAAACATGTTATTAAAAAATATACCGTACTTTTCCTTGTATAAGATGAGGTTTGTTTTCTTATGAATTAATGTCAAAAATGGGGTGTCTTCTTATACACGGATAGTGAAGAGCTGGGGCGGGGGACTGATTGCTGCCTCGAGCAGGAGATTTTCTGGGGCAATTGAATGGGTGATTGGTGGCTGCGGCAAGGGCTACATATATATATCAGAATGGTTTAAAACAATTACCTATAAAACCATTCTAGCTAGCTAGCTAGCATCTATCTAAAATAAAACAGGAATCAGCTAACAACGGTGGAAAATGGTATTGCCCACATAAGCCTGACAGAATAGAAATGTTTCCAGGTGTTTAAAAGTTGAAACAGAAGATTTGACTCCCCCTACTCCCCCTATTGGCTTTGACTCCCCCTACTGGTGCCCTCCTGCCATACACCCCAGATGGATCTGTTGTTTGTTAAGCCTTTTCTTTGACGACCAACACCCCCTATCCATGCCTTCCCTCTGTATCAGTGAGTTACTCTCCATGTTTGAAGCCCTAACTCTCCTACCTCTTGCCACATGCACTTATAGACAGGTAGGGCTGGGAAAGAAACTTCCTCGCCTGAAACACTTGTTCGTTTGTGGGCACTGCCGGTCAGTGATGGACCAATAGCCTGACCTGGTATAAGGCAGATTTCTGTGGCCTTAAATACAGTATATGCATGTCATGCTCACAACTAAAACTAGAGGCAGTTGTGTTCATTGTGCCCAGAGGCAGGCCTAACATCACACTCTTAAGTATGGCTAGCTTTTGTGCTGGAAAAAATGTCTATCCTTGGTTCAAATATGTTTAGATGCCTTTTCCCAGAGCTGGGCGATAAGCCTATCTGAACCATATCCCAGCTGGGAAGATGGACTACCACCCACTTAGTCTTTTAGCTCTGTAAAGTGAAATCTCTCTTGCTCTCTCCCTACTGAGAGGTTTAAACCTGCCTGTCCATTACAGCATCCTCCTTTATTCTTCCCTAATCCTATGTTTGGGAAAACTTTGAGATTGCTAGCTTGCTTTTCTTAGTGAGCTTAGTGGCACATGCTCAGAGGCTCTCCGTTTCTCTTCTCTGGCCCTCCCCTTCCCCCATGGCCCAACCTACCCAGGGCAAATTCCTCACTGCAAAGCAAGGGGAAGAGAAAGAAATACCAGCTTGCCTATCCTGCTAATCTCACCTGTTGCAGCTGATACCAGGGAGGACAGGGCGCCAGCAAGAAGGGAGGAGGTGAGAGACAGAGTGGAGGGCATGGAGGAGGCTGGAGGAGGAGGTTGGTGAGTAAGAGGTTAACTGGGCTCAGGGCAGATTCTGAGTCCAAAACCCTTCTCCATCCCTTGTGGGTGATGTAGGAAGAGAAACCTGCACACTTTCGGTAGGGGTTGGAAATGTAATTCAGCTATTCTATTGCGGCCTTAATTCCAATGGTCACCTTTAAACTGACTTTCTTTGTGACACCCCCTTGCCCACCCAGCAGGGGGCTGGGGAAAAGAGAGGGGTAAAGACACTCTGAAGGAGCCCGGGTTACATCACAACATCCTTTTCCCTTTCTTCTCACCTGGAACCTCTCCATATAGTATAGGGAAGGAAAGCTTCATGTTTTCTTAAATTTATGGTACAGTATTCACCTGCCTGACGCTAATCCCTTGGAAAAATACAAAGGTCCACATCCAGCTGGCAGAGAGGGACTGTTTTTAATTCCTAAGCTAACATTATTGTGTGGGAACCAGCTTTCTTTCTTCTGGGTGGGAACATTTCACTTCAAAACTGAGAGGGTCACCTAAGTTCAGTATTAGAGGATGGAGCAAGTGACAAATCGCAATACAGAGTTGTTGAGTGGGAGTGGCCACTGAAAGGTCACCAAAAAGAAGACCAAAGAGCAGACAGATTTGCATAACATGTACTTGCGTTGATTTATATGTATAGATGCAAACTGAGAAATAATAACTGGGAAACTGGGAAAAAGAGAGAGAAATGCCGTATTCTTTGCTCTATAAGACTCACTTTTTCCCTCCTAAAAAGTAAGGGGAAATGTGTGTGTATCTTACGGAGCAAATGCAGGCTGCACAGCTATCCCAGAAACCAGAACAGCAAGAGGGATTGCTGCTTTCACTGCGCAGCGATCCCTCTTGCTGTTCTGGCTTCTGAGATTCAGAATATTTTTTTCTTGTTTTCCTCCTCCAAAAACTAGGTGCGTCTTGTGGTCTGGTGCGTCTTATAGAGCGAAAAATACGGTAATCATTGTGATTTAAAGAGAAACTACAATTATATGAGGTTTTTTTTTTCCTTAGATGGATAGCCTTGCCCAATATTTTTTGGGGGGGAAGGCTAGCCCTGTCCCCTCTCATTCAACAGAATAGTGGACTGCATTGCACGACTGTTGTAAGCCACTCTTGACCAGCCTCAACCCCACCCCTGTACGCAACCTAAGAGAGAAGTTAATGAAAGGGGCATTTCAACCACTCCACACCACCACTGTGGAATATCACCGTTAGGGTAGATATAATGGAGCCAACATGGGAGTTGATGATGCAAGTGAGCTGCGCGAAAAGCAAGCTGATTGCTAGCTTAGCAGAGGCTCTTTTTATTAGCAAGATAGACAAAACCAGCAAGATACATTCAGGGCTTTGATCTTTACACTTCTCCCATCCCGAGCCCCCTGGGTGTTGCCTAGTTATCTACGCAACTTGCTCCACCGTGTCATGTTCCCATTACAGAGGGAAATGAGCAATACCTTTGCAAAGGAGGTAAACATCAGGGCACAGAACACTGCTGAGGAGACAAAAGGTCAAGGAGTGGGCATGGCAGCTAGACAGCTGTGGCTTGTCTTATGCTGTGGGGGTGGGTGTGCCCTCACCCTGCGACACCACCCCTACAGTTAGGGTGGCATAACAACCCTAATAGAATTTTGCCAGTGATAGCATTCAAGCGACTTGACCACGAATCGGAATGAGCTTGAACAAGTTTAGATTACATAGAGGTAAAGGGACCCCTGACCGTTAGGTCCAGCCGTGGACGACTCTGGGGTTGTGGAGCTCACAACGGGAGCTCACTCCATCATGGGGATTAGAACCGCCAACCTTCTGATCTGCAAGCCCTAGGCTCTGTTTTTTAACCCACAGCGCCATCTGCGTCCCTAGATTATATAAGCAACCCTAATATCATGAGAGGATTAGCAGGATTCTTAATAAAGCACCCCTGAAGTTTGAGAAGGCGAAGGCTTGGGATGTCAGTGTCTTCATCATTTTACAATATTAGACTTCATATTCTTTCCTGTATGACGCTGGCCAGCATTAAGATGTCTGCTGGCTCCCTTAAAAATTTCCTTAAATGTACTTTTCATAGTTGCCCTCTTTGTTTTCCTCTTGATCACATTTCAAGGCACCGAACAGTTAAGCGAGTTCAACTTTGATTTTCAGACAGATTAATAGAGAAGGTAAAATATAAGAGCAGTTTCCAGTAATTGAAAAAGGCAAAAAAGGAATGTATTCAGGCATTACCATCTATGTTTTTCCTTGTTCTTCCTTGTCTTTCACTGCCATGGACCCTTTGAATATTATCTTCCTCTTCTCCCAACTGTCTTATTGTTCAATTTTATGGCAGCAAACAACTCGTTTGATCTCTGTTATTAATAGCAGTTAAGGGAGTGCCATGCTGCAATGCTATTAATTTAAAGGGCAACTCCCCTCTAGATTTGTTGCTCTAGGCTTCTCTAATTTTTCAAAGTTCCTGCCTTTTTCACAGCATTTCACTGCTGAGATCCTGAAAGATCCAGATTTCTACTCCTTCCCAGGTTCAATTAGGTGCATTGTGAGTCATTCTCATAACGCATTTCCAGGACAGCCAGGTCATTCCTTTCAGATGATAAATATTTTAGTTTCCAATGACAGCTTAACAAAAACTTGCCAAACTGGTTTTGCAGAGAGGGGTAAGCCCTTACCTCTCAGGCATTTTTATGAATGGGATTTGCAAGTGAAAAGACAATGGGAAAGTTTTCCCCACCCTCCTACTGCAGAGAAATATTTGAGGTCCTTCTGGGAGAGCTCCACAACAAGATCTAGATCCTCCTTAGAAGTCTGGTTTGATTTTTGTGACATTAAAAGCCTCTCTTCTTCATCCACTGCTAGGTCTGAAATCTTTAGATTAGCTCAGAGCTTTCCAAATTTTTCAGGTTGGTGACACACTTTTTGGACATGCATCATTTCGCGACACAATCATTCAGTTTTATTAGCAAACCAGAGGTTAAACAAATCTTTTTCAGCCCCAGGAGGACAGTGGGGAGTATTTGTGCGACACACACCTACACACTGCAGCCGACACACTAACGTGTCACAACACACAGTTTGGAAAGCTCTGGATTAGCTGTTCACCATGTGAAGAAAGTTGTTAGTACTTTTTCTTTGCCCTGCTAAAGCTCTGGAGAATCTCCTTTCTCGTTCAAAATTTGAAATAGCATGATGAGGGCTAATCAGTGTTGCAAAATGATATAATTTGGTGGTGTGAGCAGATGGCCTGAACTACCATCTTGTGCAGTTATGTCATCGCTCGCCCCACAACTTGCCCTGTTAATGTTGTATATGGTAGGCTTGAAATCAAAGGTGGTGACTCATGAGGACTTTCTCAGAGGAGACCAGAATGTATTTGACACATACCTGGAGACCGACAGCTTTCTTGGCCCTGGTGTTGGGAGCAATCATCATCCTCAGCTACACCTTCCACAGAACTGACACTAAGGTAGGAATCCTCACACTTTCCCCCTCCATTAAAGCTCATGTCTCTCTGCTGAAATCAATAATTCTGAAGTTGTGTGTGTAAATACATTGTGAACATTCATCTTGTGGAACTGAAGAGTGGAGACTGCGAAGGCAGTGTGCAAACTCTCACCGTTATTTCTTGTTGCAATTTTCAAGAATTTCATTTGTGGAGCGCTGAAGAAGCAGTCAGAAGCAAACGGAATGGCTATGAATATTGGTAAGGGCTTTTGCTTTCAAACGTCCATAAAACATTTATTTATTTTATTCATAAGAGTATTCCTAAATGACCAACTCATTAAAAAAACCTGATGTGCAATAAAATCACTAAAATATCATTAAATTATAAAATCATAAAATATAGAAGAAACGGCAGACGTCAAATCAAATTAATTCTACAAAAATGCTTAGCAAAGCAGAAACGTTTCCAGCAGATGGTAAAATTGTGGGTGTTTCTCTAATGTCAATGCAAAGGGGGTGTCCAAAATATTAGGCAATTATGCTAAAAGTCTTAGTTTGTGTGGAAAGTGAATATCAAGCAATATACCGGGGGGGGGGGAGGAGCACACTTCTGTTGATGTAATAAAGAAAAAACAATTCGAATGTCCCAAAATGATAAATGAATCCCATGTTTTCAGACATTTCTAGCATTGAAATTGCAGGCAGCAGGAGCAAAATTTGGCCAATGAAAGATGGAACCCCGAGACATACTAGAATGGAATGGGCAAAAAAGGACAGAGAAATTAAAACTCTCCTTAGAAAACTAGATGACCTGATGCCCAGCTTCACTTTCATGGATATAAATACCACCACAAGTGCTAAGAACAGCAAGGCCACCATCTTAAACTACAAAGGCTCTTATTGTGTTGGCGAGCATTTGATGGTTCGACTGGATTTATACAACTACTTGGGCAAGAGGAAGGAATACGGAGGAGACTTCTTACGAGCGAGGATCTTCTCTTCAAGTCTTAGGGCTGGAGCTTCTGGGCGCATCACAGACTATAGGAATGGGACGTACCTGGTCAATTTCACCTTATTTTGGGAGGGCGATGTCAGAGTGTCCATCTTGCTCATCCACCCCAGCGAAGGAGTATCTGCACTGTGGGCTGCAAGGAAAAAAGGCTACAACAAAATAGTTTTCACAGGCAAATTTTTAAATGGGACATCAAGCGTCCACACTGAATGTGGTTTTAACAAGACCACAGACACAGAACTGTGTGAGTATCTAGATGTACGAGACCAAGAGGCCTTCTATTGTGAGAAACCAAATAATGTACCTTGCGATGCTTTTGTTAGCCTGAAGTCCAACAACAAGCCCATCTCCTACCTCACTGCCTTGGAACACAGCCTTTTTAGCAGGTATTGTTCTTCGCTTCAGGCAGCAAAACACCTGGGGTCCCACCAGCCAATTATTACCATTGTTATATCTCAGTTAGCAAATAGTCACATCAATCAGCAGAAAACTACTGTTTTCTGACCCAGGGGAGGGGGGGCAGGATATTACACAGTCTACATGCGTACCATGTATTTAAATCACACGGCTTCCCAAAAAGAATCCTGGGAACTGTAGTTCGTTAAGGGTGCTGGGGATAGTAGCTCTAGAAAATTACACTTCCTAGAATTCTTTGGAGGAAGTTATGTGCTCTAGATATGATGGGTAAAGGTAAAGGGACCCCTGACCATTAGGTCCAGTCATGGCCGACTCTGGGGTTGTGGAGCTCATCTCACTTTATTGGCTGAGGGATCCAGCGTACAGCTTCTGGGTTATGTGGCCAGCATGAATAAGCCGCTTCTGGTGAACCAGACCAGTGCACGGAAACGCCGTTTACGTTCCCGCTGGAGCGGTGCCTATTTGTCTACTTGCACTTTGACATGCTTTCGAACTGCTAGGTTGGCAGGAGCAGGGACCGAGCAACAAGAGCTCACCCCGTCGTGGGGATTCGAACCGCTGGCCTTCTGATCGGCAAGCCCTAGGCTGTGGTTTAACCCACAGCGCCACCCACATCCATCTTCAAATCTTCAAATATCTCAAGGGCTGTCATATGGAAGATGGAGCAAGCTTGTTTTCTCCTGCTCTGGAGGGTAGGACTATTAACACTATTAATTTTGGTTCCTCCAAATCAAGAGCACTCTGGGGTCAGTCTTGAGACATTTCAATGTAATATGGGGATGTGGTTGTGGCTCTATGGTAGAGCATCTGTTTGGCAAGCTGAATGTTCTAAATTTGATACCCAGCATCTCCCTGTAGGGGAGCTGCTGCCTGTCAGTGTAGACAATATTGAACTTGATGGAGCAATGCTTTGACAGGCAGCTTCCTTGATTTCACACACATACTCCACAGCTGGAACACTCTGGGGTCTGTCTTAAAGAAACTCCAATATAACTTTCCATTTGCACCTAATGAGAACATGACAATACAATAATCATCTTGCCGGAACACACCAAGAACCATCTAGCCAAGGCTTCCATTTCCGATAGACGCCACTGAGGTGTGAGAACGGGGTGGGATAAAGCCCACAGCACTCTGGGTAATGGACTTATATTCCAACTTGATTTTTAATGGTCATTTTTCTCTCTCATAAAGGTCCAACACTGGAGCTGAGATCCCTCAGACATTTGGGGACATTCGTGTTGTTGCCTGTGAAAGTGAGCTGGACATTCTGATTATTGTCACAACTTTTGTGTGGTCCATCCAGGGGCATACCTAGGGGTTGGTGAGGCTGGCCCCTGCCAAGGGGGGTGGGATGACACAAAAACCATGCCTGTCCATTCTGGCTTGAAGTGGCTAGTAGCCTAGCCCGCCTATCCGCACACTCCCTGGGCTTCTCCTCCGCTGCTCTGGATGGCTGGGCCACAAGGGACAGGGGGTGCGGATACAGTTCTTTGCCAAGGGTGCAAGAAAGCCTAGATACGCCATCCCCAAGCATATTTTTTCTGGGCTCAACCCAACCTAGTGACTCTGGCCCCCAACCTCCTCCTGCACCCCAACCTTTGGTGTGCTTTAGGAGATTCCCAAGAAAGACTCTTTTCATTCAGCTAGACCTTTTGGATCTTGGCGTCTTCTCCTTTATTTTAAGCTAAGACTTTTTGGCTGCTCTCCTGCCTTCCACAGTTTTTAGGTTTATCCTTTATTGCTGCTCTTGTCCTTAGACCCTCCGAAACCTCTTGGCGTAGAAGCAGGAGGCCAAATAATTATGATAAATAATTCCATTGCTATTCTGGTTCTTCCCCATCCTTGAAAATGACGCCATCTTCAGGGCTGGCACAAAGTTTGCCAGGTGCAGAATTGAGGGGCTGCAATAAAGGGTTGTCCCTGCTGGCTACAGTCCTTCTTTCTGTAGCTTCGGGATCCCCAGTGATTTTGGGATTGCCCAGGAGGCTGTGGGACCAGTCACACTTTCAACCCTGTTTTTTTCCTTCACAGCGCTGCAGTCACAGAGTTCACTGACACCTGCTTGTCTCTCATTTCCTTTTGGTAGGCATGGCGATGACCACGGTGAGCAAGAAGTGCAAGGTTGGCATGACGTCCCCATCTCCCAGGGGCTTTGTCTGGCAGAACCAGTGGCATCCTGTGTTCTGCAGCATGTCAGCTTTCCACACCTTGGATAGGATTAACGCTTGCTTGAAACAAAAGATCATTTACCTCCTGGGAGACTCGACTGTGCGGCAATGGATGGAGTATCTCACAAAGAGAGTCAATAGTACGTTCTCCCACCTAGATATAATCTCAACGTAGCAAAGCTTCCAGTAACACACAGTGCCTGCTTCTGATAACTCACAGTCCTTTCTACCCGCAAAAGAGCCATCTCCTAGTTTACGTCTAGGGCTTGTTTTTTTCTTGGCTACAACATTCATTATATAAGAGACTAAGCAGCAAGGTATAAGATGGAAAGGAGTGTCCCAAACAGGTCCCCAGCAGTCATACCCCATGAAATATACTTGGAGTCGAGAGTGGATTTCATGCTCTTTATTCAGCTCGTAGTGGTAAGGAGGAATGGAAGTTCCCCCAGAATGTCTGCTTTATATACAATATTTACACAATGGGCCCCACGTAATTGGATAATTCTGGGATTCTCCTGTAGGCCAATCAGGTTGCGGATTCACTTCCACCTGGAGCTGGATTGGGTGGCTCCTATAGACCAATCTGACTGCTGCATTCTTGGTCCTATTGTTCTAGGACCAATCAGACTGCTTCATTTTGGATCCTATTCAACTCAGTACATAACACCCCAGAACTTTACCTCCTTTATCACCTGTATGCTCCCCACCCCCTGCCCGACACACGCAACTGGCATCTGTTCTGTGCTTGGAGGACACCACCCAGCTGAGGTTCAGAGTTTCCTCCTTAGTCTGCTCAACTAGAGGGCCTGTTTCCAGTCATTCACTACTGCCTTGGCTCTTGATCCTCACCTAGTTATGCCAATACATCTTCCATGGGCCACTCTGATCCCTGATTGATCCCTTTCTAGTCTTTGCCTATACATGCACCAAGGGAGTAGCAGCGGTGGGGGTTGCCGGGGTGATTGATCTGTGTGCGTGCGATGCTCATGCCACCCTCCCCAAGCCAGCCCCAAAGCAGCTCAAGTGTCACTTCAGCAGTGAGGGCTGGGCTGGCACACGGCAGGCTCCGTTCACCCTCCAAGCCCACATCCCTCTCCACGCACCGGGCACCAGGACAGCATGCTCTGCTGCGGGCATGCACGACCCACAGCCACCAGCATGGCACCTTGGGGTGGCAGTGTAACAACCAGCACCCCTTACAGTGCCTACAAAAGGTGTCTGTAAAGATCTCCCTCCCCCCCCCCCCCATAAATCCACATATACAGTGGTACCTTGGTTTACAACCATAATCAGTTCCAGAGGCCCGGTTGTAAACCAAAACAGGTTGCAACCCAAGACATGCTTTTGCCAATGGGGCCCCTAAAAAACTAATAATAATAATTGGTTGTAATCCAAAAAGGGGGGGGGTTGTAATCCAAAAAAGGGACACACACTTCCGGGTTTGACTTGGTTATAATCCAAAACGGTTGCAAACCAAGGTACCACTGTATGTGAGAGACAGTTTGCTCTTTCTGCTCAGTTCCTGTTTGGATTGGCTTGGCCTCTTCTCCATTGGATGAACCATTTAAACACTCCCACATTATGCCATGCACCTCATGGCAACCGCTTTTGGGCTGGCACCCCAGAACTGTCTTAAAATTCCAAATGTAGCCACTGACCCAAAAATGTTGACAACTCTCAGCCTAGAGGCTGCCCCTTGCAGAAACCCGGTGCAGAAATTAGGTAAATGGAAGCTTTGCTCCCAGAGTTCACATGTGGCAGGTGAAACTGGCAGCATTACACTGGAATGGTGTGCAAGAAATCAAGAGTGTGTTCCTTGTCTCCTAGAGTCACACCGTGCTTGTATGTATGTTTGCTAAATCATAAGGTTAATGTGCAGGAAAAATGCAGCTCCAATGGAATTGTCCATTTTTGCTAGATGGCTTGAGCAGAAGCTGCAGGTTCCACCATGCTCCTGGAAGGAAAGGAACACCAGTTCGCAGTACAGTGGTACCTCAGGTTAAGTACTTAATTCGTACTGGAGGTCCGTTCTTAACCTGAAACTGTTCTTAACCTGAAGCACCACTTTAGCTAATGGGGCCTCCTGCTACTGCTGTACCACTGGTGCATGATTTCTATTCTCATCCTGAAGCAAAGTTCTTAACCCGAGATTCTATTTCTGGGTTAGCGGAGTCTGTAACCTGAAGCGTATATAACCTGAAGCGTATGTAACCCGAGGTACGACTGTATCTCTTTCCCCTCCATGCCACCAAGCAACTATCTGAAGCAAAGAGATTATAGCCAAGAGGAATGGAGAAAGGACATCTAGAAGATGTTTGTCCTCTGCTCCGTGGGAGTTCCTTGCAGTGTGGGCCCAGCCTGTCAATAGAACAGAGATAAAGTCTTTGCCCTGAAACAATACAATACAGTACAAATCTTTATTATGGTCATAGACCAACATAAAAGGATGGGATACAGTCATTTAAAATCTGAAAAGCGTTTTGGAAACCTAAAAGGTATTAAAACAAAAGGTGAATATAAAAGTCTATAAGAATTTAAAAGGAGCTAAAAGAATCTAAAAGAAGGGCTAGGAGCATTGGGCGGGTATGGAAGAGCATAAAAGGTTGATATATAAAAGACTTTACCATTTACAGAGCATTCTGATATGTTCATTAAATCTGGTTTGTGGCACAGGTCATCCTCCGACAAATTTTGAGCACTGCTGTGCAGAATCTAGCAACATTGTATGTTGTAGCAGGACTGGTATCTGAGAACAGCAGGGAGGTATAGAATTGCTCTGTGAGACCTGGGTACTTATGAAGTAGTGGGGAAATCAGGCTAATACAAGTGTCTCTGTAATTGTCCTGAAACAAATAGCACCATCAGATTCAAGAGAGTACACCAGCCATGCAGTAGAGTTTTCCCCACAAGAAGTAGTCCCCTAATTTTTCTAAGGGCAATGACCAAAAAACTTGTACTGATTTTTTTTCTCTATTCCCACATTAGCACTGAAATATCTCAAGCGCTATGCAATCGGGAAACCCGACCGACTGGTCGCAGTGGACATGGCTAGAAACATTCAAATCAATTGGAAAAAACATGCTCACCCCTTTGTAGGCTCTTCTGAGTATACAGTGAAAGACCACAGTTATGTCGCTTGGGACATCGACCTTGTGGCAGGTGGCAGAGACACAGCAGTTGTCATCTCTCTGGGCCAACACTTCCGTCCCTTCCCCATCGAGCTCTTCATTCGAAGAATGATTAACATACGGGCAGCCATCCAGCGCCTTCTCCTGAGGAGCCCAGACACAAAAGTCATCATCAAAGCAGAGAACACCCGGGAGATAGACATCGACCAGGAGCGATTTGGGGACTTCCATGGTTATGCCCAATACCTTGCGCTAAAGGACATTTTTCGAGATCTGAAGGTGGGCTTCATTGATGCCTGGGACATGACAGTTGCCTATGGCACAAATCTGGTTCACCCACCAGATCACGTGGTCGGAAGTCAGATTGATATGTTTTTGTCTTACATATGTTAAGGCAGTAAAATAAACCCAGAGTGAAAGCTTTAATTATGCAAAGGAAAGGATTTTGAATGGGGCAAGACAGTCAGCTAAGCATGTGGAACATTTTTATCAGTTGCGTTTAGACACCTAAGGGTGTAATAAAGCACCAAAACAAATAACAGATGAAGCAGAGAATTTTGGATCGGAAAATGTAGCAATTAAGGATATGGGACACACTTGGTGGCTGCGGCGAGGGCTGCATATATATATCAGAGTGGTTTACAACAATTACCTATAAAACCATTCTAGCTAGCTAGCTAGCATCTATCTAAAATAAAACAGGAATCAGCTAACAATGTTGGAAAATGGTATTGCCCGCATAAGCCTGACAGAATAGAAATGTTTTCAGGCGTTTAAAAGTTGAAAAAGAAGGTGCCTGTCAATGACTTTGTCTCCCCCTACTGGTGCTCTCCTGCCATACACCCCAGATGGATCGGTTGTTTGTTAAGCCTTTTCTTTGATTACCAGCACCCCCTATCCATGCCTTCCCTCTGTATCAGTGAGTTACTCTCCATGTCTGAGGCCCTAACTCTCCTACCTCTTGCCACATGCACTTATAGACAGGTAGGGCTGGGAAAGAAACCTCCTCGCCTGAAATGCTTGCTGGATTGTGGGCACTGCCGGTCAGTGATGGACCAATAGCCTGACCCGGTATAAGGCAGATTTCTGTGGCCTTAAAAACACTGTATGCAAGTCACGCTCACAACTAAAACCAGGGGCAGGTGTGTTCATTGTGCCCAGAGGCAGGCCCAGCATCACACTCTTAAAGATGGCTAACTTTTGTGCTGGGAAAAATGTCTATCCTTTTTTTTTTTGCTTACACATTTTTATTAATTTTCATTGATTATACATATATACAGTCTAGATTACATAAGTTGCATATAACATAGCTGTTACAAGAGTCATATATATAGTACACAATTATTTTAGGCTCCGCCGAGCCTCGGACTTCCCTTCACTTTATTGATAAGTATCAGATAATTTCTAAAGTTACGTGTTTTATCTCCTTTACATATTTGCCAAACACTGTTAGAGTTATTCTAACCCTGCCAGAGTCCTCAAAGTTCTATACTTATCTCTTATATACGTCAGATATTTATTCCAATTTTCATGAAACTTCTGGTCATCCTGGTCTCTTAGTCTTCCTGTTATTCTAGCTAGTTCAGCATAATTTATCATCTTGTTCTGCCAGTCGTCTATAGTAGGTATTAATTCTGTTTTCCAGCTTTGGGCCAACATATTTCTAGCGGCCGTTGTGGCATATAGAAACAGATTTTTATCCTCTTTTTTAATTTCCTTGCCAACTATTCCTAGCAGGAAAGCTTCAGGCTTTTTGGGAAAAGTATATTTAAAAATCCTTTTAAGCTCATTGTAGATCAGTTCCCAAAAGCCTTTTACTTTCCTGCATGTCCACCACATGTGATAGAACTCACCATCCTCCTCTCCACATTTCCACATCTTCAGTTTGTAAATCTTAGCCAATTTCACTGGTGTGAGATACCACCTATGAATCATCTTCCAGAGATTCTCCCTTAATGCCGTACACGCCGTGAATTTCATATTTACATTCCACAATTCTTGCCACTTTACAAAGTCAATGTTGTAACCAATGTCTATGGCCCATTTTATCATAGCCTCCTTCACCTCTTCGTCTTTTGTATACCAATCCAGTAAAAGGTCATACATCCTAGATAATGTTTTGTTTTTGCCTTCAATAATTTCCACATTAAATTTAGATTTTTTATCTTCAAATCCCAGTTTCTTTTTATCATCTTTTAACAGATCATTCACTTGATGGTATTGCAACCATCCCGTAAGTACATTCTTTACCTCCTCATAGGGCTTGAGTTTTATGCCCTGATCAGTTTTATTGATAAGTTCTTCATAGGTGGCTCTTTTCCCTTCCATATTAGTTTTTTTGACAGTTAAGACATCAATTGGTGAGATCCACCATGGAGTTTTCTTTTCCAGCAGGTTCTTATTTCTTTCCCATACTTGAAATAATGATCCTCTAATTATATGATTTAGAAAGCCTCTATGAACTTTCACCTTTTCGTACCACAGGTACGAGTGCCACCCGTACCTGTTATCAAAGCCCTCTAAATCCAAGATATCAGTATTCTCTAGCTTTATCCAGTCTTTCACCCACATTAAACAAGCCGCTTCATAGTATAGACTCAAATCTGGTAAAGAAAAACCCCCTTTCTTTTTTGTCTACCAATATTTTCATTTTTATTCGTGGTCTTTTCCCCTGCCAAATAAATCTCGCTAAGATCCTTTGCCAATCTTTACACTGTTTTAGTCCTTTCATTACTGGTATAGTTTGGAACAGAAATAACATTCTGGGCAGGACATTCATTTTAATAACCGAGATCCTCCCTAAGAAGGAAAGTTTCAATCTCTCCCAGATTTCTAAGTCTTTCTTGACACCCTTCCAAGTAGCCTCATAATTATCTTTATATAAGTTTATATTTTTTGCTGTGATCCACACTCCTAAATATTTTACCTTCTTAACAACCGTAATTCCTATCCTTTGTTCTAGCTCTGCTATCTCTTCCTTGGTTATATTTTTTGTTATCATTTTGGTCTTATTCCTGTTAAGCTTAAAACCTGCCACTTTTCCAAATTCTTCTAATTTCTGTAAGGCTTCTTGTAGACTGTTCTTAGGATCTTCCAATGTTAATATCAAGTCATCTGCAAATGCTTTTATTTTGAATTCCTTACTTCCTACCTTAATTCCTTTAACTTCCGGTGTTTCCCTTAACCTTTTATTAAACACTTCCAACACTGTTATAAATAACAAAGGGGATAAAGGACAACCTTGCCTAGTCCCTTTGGCAATATCAAAGGCCTCCGATATATTGTTATTTATTATAAGTTTGGCATTTTGCTCTTGATAAATTGCGTCAATACCTTTTCTAAATCCTTCACCAATTCCCATCATTTTTAAATTTTCCTTCATGAAACGCCAGGAGACGTTGTCAAATGCCTTCTTGGCGTCAATGAAGATCAGCGCCGCCTGTTTGTCTATTCTAGTATCCAAATACTCAATGATATCTATCACATTTCTTACGTTGTCTTTCAATTGTCTCCCCGGGAGAAAACCCGTTTGGTCTTTATGGATTCTTTTATTTAAGACTTTTTTTAACCTTTCTGCCAGTACGTCTGCGAATAATTTATAGTCGTTATTTAATAACGAAATAGGTCTATAATTTTTTACCTCTAAACCATCTGTGTCTTTTTAGGGATTAAGGTAATATACGCTTCTTTCCAGGTGTTTGGAATTCTCCCTTCTTTTAATACATTATTCATGACTTCACATAGCACTGGGGAAATTTGGTCACTTAATATTTTATAATATTTAGCCGAGATACCATCTGGCCCCGGCGCTTTTCCTATTCTCATTTTTTTTATTGCTTTCCTAATTTCTTCCTCTGTAATTGTCTGGTTTAGATATTCTCTTTCTTCAGTCGTGATCTATTGCAATTGGTATTTTTTCAAGTAATCTTCTATCTCATTATCTATCTCTTTTTTTCTTTTATATAATTCCTTATAGTATTTCTGAAATATCTTCTTTATCTCTTTTGGGTCCTCCACTATCCTTTCTCCATCCCTTATCTTACATATCATGTTTTGTTTTTTCCTCTCTCTTAATTGCCACGCCAGATATTTTCCTATCTTATTTGCTGATTCAAAGTTCTTTTGTTTCATCATTTTGATCCTCCATTCAATCTCCTGGTTCACTATCATAGAAAGTTGAGCTTGTAGCATCCTTATGTTTTGTTTTAATATTTCATCTCCTGGTTTAATGGTTTAATTGTCTTTCATTCTCCATGAGATGTAGTAAGATTTATTCTTTCCTTTTCTCTTTTATCTTTTTTGAGATGCTATTTTTCTGAATAAGGAAACCCCTCATGACAGCCTTCCCAGCGTCCCACACCGTTTCTAGAGATGTTTCTTTATTCAAATTCCACTTAAAATATTCCTCAATTGTCTCTTTTGCTTTATTTACTATCTTTTGATCATTGAATAGGTTTTTGTTCATTCTCCATCTTAATGTTCTGAAATCTTTTCCTTTTACCTCCATATATACTGGCTTGTGATCAGATAAAGTTTGTGGGAGGATTTCAGTCTTAATTACTCTTTGCGTCAATTCCTTCGAGACCCAAATATGGTCTATTCTCCCCCAGCTTTGATTTGGGTTTGAAAAGAAAGTGAATTGTTTTATCGTGGGGTTTTTAAATCTCCAAGCGTCAATTAATCCCAAATTTTCCACTAATTCGAAGAAGGCTTTCGGTAATTTGCCCTCCCTCATTTCCTGTTTTCTTATTGATCTATCCAAGTTTGGGAGAACCACTCCATTAAAATCCCCCATCAATATCATTTGTTGGTCCATCCATTCTAACAATTTGTTACCTAGTTCAGAATAAAATGCTGATTTTTTGTCATTGGGTGCATATATCCCTACCACGATTATCTTTTCTCCTTGGTGGGTGATCTGTACTGCCATTGCTCTCCCCTCTTCGTCTTTATGTATTAGTTTTGGATCAAATTTTTCTTTTATATATAGTAACACTCCTCTTTTCTTGACATTATCCGATGTTACAAAGTCCAACCCCAATCTCTTATTACTTAAAATTCTTTTATGTTTTTTTGTTACGTGGGTTTCTTGCAGACAGATTATGTCAAGGTTCTTTTTAAGCAATACATGAGCAATTTGGTTTCTTTTATTTTTATTATTGAGCCCGTTCACATTCCACGAGGTTATTTTTAAAGTCATTTTTAATGTACAATCAGTAAGTGGTCAAATCTAGGTTAGGTCTACTGTTCCTTGTTATCTGTCTCTTCCTCTTCTTTTTCTTCGTCTAGGTTTTCCTCCTCTTCTCCCTCTCCACTTTCTTCACCTCCACCCCTCTCTTCCCCCATCTGCGCCCCTTCTGGATCCCCCCCTCCCAACCTTCCCAGTTCCTTCTCATATCTTCTTGCGAATTTATCCAATTCTAGAGAGCTGGATAGTTTAAATCTTTTTTCCTTGAAATAGAATGAAATCCCTTCCGGGAACTCCCATCTATATTGGATCCCGTTCTTCTTCAATTGGTTAGTTAGTTTTTTATAAACATCTCTCTTACGAAGAAATCTCGAAGGAATCTCTTTAAATATAATAATTGGCTTTCCTTCAATACATAATTTTTGATTATAGTTTAACTTTAGTATTTCATTTCTCATATCCAGAGAGTTAAACATAACCAGGACATCTCCTGGCAGTTTCTTCCCTCTGGCTTTGGCTGATTTTGTTTTTATCCGAAAAATATTTGCAACTGAGTGTCCTATGTCTTTTTCCTTCATATCTAACCAAACTGCCAATTCTCTAACCAGTTTAGATCGTATGTTTTCATTAGGTTCCTCAGGGATCCCCCTAAATTTCAGGTTTGATTGTTTCTGTCTCATTTGAGTCATCGCCACACTATCCAGTAACTCTTCCTGTATTTTATTTATCTCCTTCACCTCTGTCTTAATCCTATCCATATCTTTCTTATTTTCTTTAGTATCTTTTTGAACCCTTTTCATTGAGTCTTCAAGTACTTTGGATCTTAGAGATAAATCTTTTACTTTTCCTGTTAGCTCTCCCACCACCCCTTCTAATCTCTTATTCTTTTTTTTTTTTTAATATAAATTTTATTTTATAACACCATACAAACAAAAAAGACAAACACCACACATTCACACCAAAAAAACATATACATACATATACATACTCCTGACATAAGACAACAACAAATTAACTACATTAACTACTTAACACACAACACTGACTGAATTCCCTTCATCTAGGTTTCGAATGTGTTATAAAATTTTCTATCTGCAGTTTCTTTTCCTCAAAAAAATTCTTTACATCACAAGTGTTATATCGCACCTACTGTGTTTTTAGTTTTTTTACCTCTGTTTCCATGTATGCCATGAATTTATTCCAATCTTTATTAAACTTTGTGTCTTTTGATTTCTTATTTTCTGTGTCATTTTTGCCAATTCTAGATAGTCGAGTAGTTTCGATTGCCATTCATTTATGGTTGGGATTCTTGGTGTCTTCCAATTCTGCACTATTAGAGTTCTGGCGGCCACTGTCGCGTACTGAAAGAGTGTTTGATCTTCCTTTTTGATTTCCTCTCCAATTATCCCCAGCAAAAAGGCTTCAGGTCTCTTTATAAAGGTATATTTAAAGATTTTTTTTAGTTCATTGTAAATAGATTCCCAAAATTTTCTAATAGGCTCGCACAACCACCACATATGATAAAAATCGCCCTCCTTAATCTTGCACTTCCAGCATAATTTATGACCAGTTTTATATATTTTTCCCAGTTTTACGGGCGTTACGTACCACCTGTACATCATTTTGTACATATTTTCCCTGAGTGTTGTGCATGCCGAGAATCTCATACCTTTATTCCATAGTGCCTGCCATTTATCAAACTCTATGTTATACCCAAAGTCCATTGCCCATCTCACCATTACCTCCTTTACTTCTTCATCTTTGGTGTCCCATTCGAGCAACAGGCTATACATTTTCGATAGGAGTTTTGTTTTACTTTCTAATATTTCAATCTGGAATCTAGATTTTTCTCACTTATCCCATTTTTTTATCCTCGGTCCAGATAGAGTTGATTTGATGAAATTGGATCCAACCTGTCAATTTGTTCTTTATTTCTTCATATGGCCTAATCCTCCAACCGGTCTCTGTTTTTACTAATAAATCTTCGTAGGTCCATCTTTCTCCTTCGATATTTGTTTTTTTTATTGTCAGGATATCGATTGGCGAAAGCCACCAAGGGGTATTCTGTTCCAATAATTTTTTATTTCTTTCCCACACCTCCAGTAATGGCCCTCTGAAGATATGGTTAGAAAATCCTTTATGGATCTTTCCCTTATTACGCCATAGGTAAGCGTGCCAACCGAATCTTAAATCAAATCCTTCTAAATCTAGCAGATCTTTATTTTTTATAATAATCCAATCCTTGACCCAACAGAGGCATGAGGCTTCATAATATAACTTTAAATTTGGGACTGCGAATCCTCCTCTATCTCTTTGGTCTGTGAGTAATTTGAATCTGATTCTCGGCCTTTTTCCTTGCCAGATGAATTTAGAAAGTATTTTCTGCCAGCCCTTGAATATTGATGTTCCCCTGATTATTGGTATATTCTGAAATAAGAATAGCAGTTTCGGTAATAGACTCATTTTTATTGCCGCCATTCTCCCCGACCAGGATAGCTTTATTCTATTCCAGGTATCTAAGTCCTCTTATTCAATGAGTCTTGTACTTCCAGTAATTTTTTCTAGATGTATTGTTCATTATGTTTAAACTCTTTCCTTATTTCAGCCATCAAATTATCGTAGTCCTTAATTTCCTTCCCCTCTTTCCCATTTTCTTGTCTGGATGGTCTCCTTTCAGCAGGCGTTCCCACCCCCTTCTTCATTTTATATTTCTATTAGTCTTAATTAACTAAAAGAAAGAGAGAAAAAAAAGAAAGAAAGAAAGAAGAAAAGAAAGAAAAAGCAAAAGCAAAAGAGGAAAAAGTTCTTTCCCACCCCTAGGGGTCGCTCAACTGTAATTTAGGAGGTTTCTTTGTTTTCCCAATATAGCACTTTACTTGCATTCACCCTTTTAGTTCTTCAATATACAGTCTCTTTCCACTCACAGCTAGGGGGTCAGTTTGGTGAGTCGTTTACAGTCACAAAAAGCAAATGAAGAGGAGAGAAAGTTCTCAGAATTTAGATCCTAGAGGATAAATAAAATAAAAAACATCAATACACATAGGGGAGAAAAGGAGGTGGGGAACATCCGGCTCAATACTTTCCAGGAAATAGGGATGATGTGTGAGGCGGGTTTCGAAACCGGGGGGGAGTCAAAAGTAAACCAAAAGATTATCACGGGGAGGCAGCAGGATATAGCGGGATCGTAAAGTCTTGCCAAGATACTGTGTTTAAGTCTTCTTTCTTTCCTTTTCTTTCGACTTAGCCATTTACTCCCCGTTTTCTGTAGCGGTAGGTTAAATATTTAAGGCGCCCAGATTATCTTCTCCTAGATGATTACAGCTGTGTACCACTTTAAGAGGAAAATGAGAAGTGGATCACACAATG